CCCCTCTCCCGGAACGACGCGTTTGCACAGCATGCCACGCTGCCCCTACGTCCACCATCAAAGCGCTCTGGCATTATTGAGCACCAATCGGGTTTCAGGCACTAATTTTCACAACAACCTTGCAGGGCGGTTATTATTAGCCGCCTATTCAGAGGAGGAACCTGCGGCTTAGAGACGTTAAATAACTTGTCCAGAGCCATACAACTAGGAAGTCAAGACGCCCGGGGTTTGAACTGCCCCTCCTCTCATCTCTGACTTCAACAGGTCTTCAGGCAATCTCCTCTGGGAAGCCTTCCCTGATTGCCCCATCCTTGCCGTGTTCACTCCTGCCTCTCCTCTGCTGGCCCTGCGTGATTTGGCCCCTCCTGCGTCTGAGTCACCGTTTCCCACCTAACCCCTCCTCATTCAGCGTGTTCAAGCCACGGTGCTTTCTGTTTCTCTTCCTTAAATATACCAAACTTGTCCCTGCCTCCCACTCTCTGCATCTGTCCTGTCTGGCTGGCTCCTTGTCACATGACCTCCTTGACACCCTAGCTAAAGTAGCTGTGCAGTCTCTCACATAATGCCCCTTTATTTCCCTCCAAGCACCATCTCTCGAACATGATTATATTCATTTACTTGCTTCCTAGTTCATCAGCCACCCTCCACTAGAATGTCAATGTCATGAGGACAAAACCATGTTTGTCACTTTCTTTGCAATATCCTGAGGCTGACTCGGTGCCTGGTGCAAGTTGTAGACACCCACTCATCACGGTAACCTCAGGACACACACCCAGTGATAAGACAGTCACTTCACAGTTGGGCTGGAATGAGATGGACCCCGTTCTTCTAAAACAGGAGAAGGTTGGGAAGTCACCACCTCGTGACCATTTGGGATTTGGTTTGTCTGGGACTTTCCCAGCTTGGACTGTGGTCAGTGTGCACAGTTTCTGTATTGGCCAGGAGGGGCTGTGCCCAAGCTGATGCCTGCCTTCCTGAATGGGCTACGGGGAGTCACAGTCCATTCCTAGAGTTGCCAGGAAGCTAAGAAAAGAACTCCATCACTGCTCACGTTTAATTAGCTAAAACAAGTCCTAGGCCACTCCTCACCTCCAGGGGGCAGGAAAACTTCCCTCCTACCATGTTCCAGGAAGAAGAAATGGAGTATCTGTGACCAGGCTAAAAGACTACCCTCCATCTTTATCTTTATGTGTGTGTGTTTTTTTAAGACAGTACAGACTTCCGGGGCAGGCAGTTTGCTATTATCATTGCAATGCACAATTCTGCATTCTATACCCTGGGTTTGGGGCCTTGCGTGTAGGTTTCTGCAGGATTTCCGAGGGTATCTATTTCGTGCCCTCCTCTTCAGGGCAGAATCAGGATCTTATTCACTGTGGTATCCCCTACATACAGGACAGAGTGGAGCATTAGCGAAGTTCAAGAAGTGGTAGTTTAACAAACAAAGATCAGACTCCCAAGTTCTGTTCCTTGTCCTACACTGGGCTCAGGGGTGGTCATCCTCTCTAGGCCATGGCTGCTACAGAACGGGGATCCCTGAAAGCAATGGAAATCTCAAAACAACAGAAACAACATGACTGCTCCGCTGTCAGAAGAAAAGTCTGTACAATTGTCATATAACTGTCGAGGCCAAAGGAGCAGCCAGGAAGGCTGAAAGATCTCTGGGATATACGTACTCAGTAGTTGGCAGAATGCCCATGTTGGTTCCTTGGTCTGTGTGAGGAGAGTTTTCTCAGAGGTGAAGGTCAAGTGAAAGCCCCTGAAACTTGCCTCCTACCCACCTAGCTTAGCCAAGATAATAAGTAAAAAACAAAAACAAAAAAACAATATCACATGGCAGGGGAAATGCAGAGATTAGTGCTACCCATGGAGACCTAAAGCATCTGGAGTTGGGGATGGACCCCATCGTATCCCTATTTAATTCATCAGTCTGATCTTTAAAAAATACAGAAAATGCTGGTAGATTGCTACAAACTCAACCAAGTAGTAGCCCCAATTACAGCTTCCGTGCTGGTGTCCTTGCTAGCGTGGATCAGCACGGCCTCAGGGACCCAGAGGCTGGCCTTCTATTTGACCACTCATATCAGGAACCATTGACATTCACAGGGAAGGACAGCCATTCACATTTATGGTCTTGCCCCAGGTCAGTGGTCACTCTCCCACCTTTGTCATGCGGTCTGAAGGGCCCTGGCCATCTGGACATTTGACAGAACATTGCAATGACATCCTACTAATCTGGCTGGCTGAACGAGAAGTAACAAGTAAACGAAGACCTCGATGAAACATACATGCTTCCAAATCGGGTGGAAGATAAACCCCGGGAAGATGTGGGGGCTTGCCACATCAGTGGAGTTTAGTGGTCTGGGGCATACCAGAACATCCCTTCCAAAGTAAAGGACAAAAGACTGCATCTTGAATACCCCATTGCAGGGAAGGAAACACAATGCAAAAACTCACTCTTTGGGATCTGGAGGCAGTATATTCTACACCTGAGAATTCTGCGCTGACCCATACATGTCTGGATGACATAAAAGGAAAGAGCTGTCCCATGGACCACAGGGCTCACAGACCCTATAATATTAGAGGCATAGATGGTGAGTAAAGATGCTGTGTGAGGTTTATGGCAAGCCCTAGTGGGAAATCCATCATGTACACCCCTAGGGTTCTAGAGCAACGCCAGGCCACCTACAGCAGAAAATTATATATGCATTCCAAAAGCAATTCCGCTAGGCTACTGGACCCTGTTGGAGAGAACTAGGGGACATCAGGGACCATAAGGCCAGAGCTGCCCCTAATGAACTGGGTTCTATCAGGCTCGCTAAGTGGTAAATTCATGTGGGCCCAGCAGATTATAAGCGATATGTTGTAGCTCCATATCATCCACCCCCGTCACACCAGCGCCTCTCCCTCATTCACACCTATGACCTATTCAAGAGGTCCCTCGTGACCAGCTGACAAAGGAAAAAGGCTAAGCTTGATCGGAAATGAGCTGGCTCCTTATCAGATGTCTCATATGGCCTCTCATACCCTCTAGTTCACTTGCTGTGAGCAAAGCCAGCTGCCATGTTGTGAGATGTCCTGTGGGGAGGCCCACATGGCAGGGAAGTAAGAGGACCCCCTCCAACAGCCAGTGTGACATCGAGTCCTCATCCAACAGTCTGGGAGGAACTGATTCCTGCAACATGAGGCAGCTTGGAGGTGGATCCTTCCCAAGCTGAGCCTTTCCGACGAGACTGAGGCCCCCGCCAGCACCTTGACAGCAGCACTGTGAGAGATCTTGAGGCAGAGACACCCTGCTAAGCCACAGCCAGATCCCAGACCCCTAGACACGGTCATTGCTTTAAGCTGCTGGATTCCAGGATAATTTGCTATAAGGCGATAGATAACTAATATAGTCCCATCCACCATCTTTTCTCTGGCTTTTCCCCAGCAGCTCCCAGCATCCCATCTCCTGCCCAGAGTCCTTTGTTGGTGCCTCCTAACTGTCAGTGTTTCCCAGGTCCCAGGCCTGGGTCTTCTCACTGCGCTCACTCTCTGGATTGTCCAACCACTCTCAAGACAATCTACAGCTGAGGCCCAAATTCCCTCTCCAGGTCCAGACCCGAGCATTGGATGACCTCCTGGAAATCTCCACTCAGGGCCCATGTTCAACACAGCCAGAAACAAACATCGTCTTTGCCCCCAAATTTGTCTTCCCTCTGAGCTCCCCATCTCAGAGGTGGTGCCAATCATCCACCTAGTCTCCTAAGCCAGAATCCTGGTGTCATCCGGGATGCCTCCCTTTTGCCTGTCCTCAATACCCAATGCCGGTAGATTCTCTCTTCTAAGTATCTCTGGCATATTTCCAGTCCTCATCATCCCTCCTGCACCTACGCTGAGATCCATCCAGAGATGCTTCCTCACTGCCGCGCTCACCAAGGGACCTGCCCTAGCTTGAGCTAGCTGCCTGTAACTGGAGAGAGGACAGCAGCAACGGTCTCCAGTTTGGTTCAATCCGCCACCACCCAGGAGCAGCCTGAGGGATTCTCCTTTCCTGGGCATTGCAAGCTGTTTAACCGAAACTACAGAAATGCCTAGAGATCCCCGCTGCGCCGTGCTCTCTTATATATTTACAGTTGTCGTTCTTTGTATCTGGAACATCTCGGTATCTTTGCTTCCCTCAGTCAAAATAACTTACTAGAACACCAAATGTGGCCTCCTACAATCCTGGAGCTGTTTTGGTGCTTGAAGAATTTGGCCTGAGGGCTTTTGGAGTAGCTGAAACAGACTTTCTGTTCATAAGACCTTGGGAAACAGGGCTCTCTGAGCCTCAGTTGCCCCATCTGTAAAATGTCCACAGGGTGGCGAAGGTCGCGCAGGCAGCAGGTGGCGCTGGTCTTCATTGCCCCCACCCGCAGCTCCAGCTCCCACACCTCTGCTGGTCGAAGCGCTGAGAACGGTTGCGGGAAGGCCGGGCAGGGGAGGGGCCTCGGAGGCGGGGGCGGGGCCTCCTCTGGCCCGCCCCCCGCGCACGCAGATAAGGCCTACGTCACGACGCTGTGTCCTTTCGGACGCTTCCCGGTCTCGGGCGGGTCACGTGAGCCGCTTTTCGCGCGAAAACTAGTTGTTGCCGGAGTGGCGGCGGGGAGCGAGGCGCTACCATGGCGGTGAGCGCGCGTCTGCCGTGCGGAGGGGAGCGGGCCTGGGGGCGGCGGGTGGTCCCCGCGATCCGGCACGTCTGCCTGGGGCCAGGGGCGCGGGCGGTGCGGGCGCGCTCCGGGAACTGGGGAGAGGGGCTGCGCGCTTCTGGTTCTCAGGCTCTTTTCGCCGCGCTCGGTCCCGCCGGGAAGGGGCCTCCGGATGAGGTTGGGTCCCTGGGCTCGGGTCGGGAGCTGATTTCTCCCTTGTACTCGTCTCTTGCGGGGTTTGCAAACCCAGCGGGCCCGGCGCCAAGCTGGGAGCTCGGAATTCCTTAACCCGAGCTAAGTGGCCCACCCGGCCACTATCATTCACCCACCGCGTACATGCTTGTGGGGCACCCTCTCTATGCCTGGCGCTGGGTGTACACGAGACAGACACGGTCCCGCCATCTTCGTGCACGTATTGTGGTATTTTTTGTCCGTTTGTCTTATTTATTGTCTTCTCTCCACCAGTCTGTACGTTCCAGATCTCTGAGGTTTCAGTCACTTTTGTATTGTGTTTCCTATCGCAGTGTCTTGCATATTGTGGGTGCTTTCATGGGTGGGAAGGCGGGCTTACAGGAGAGGAAGGCAGAGGGAGTAGAGAAACAGGTATATAAACAAATGAGGTGTCTTTAGTGACTGGTCCTGGAGAAGGGAAATGGGAGTGAGTGGCTGCAGTGTTTGAGTAAGTGATACTTGAGCTGCTTCCTGTGTGCTCAGAAGCCATTGGCTCAGCTCACTGGAGAGCATTCCAGGCAGAGGGAACATCTAAGGGCAAAGTTTTGAGCCTGACAGGGTTTGGAGTGTCCGGGGCACAGGGTCACAGGTAGAGAGGGCTGCCTTATGGGAAGCTAAGTCAGCCCTCACGAGTTCTTGGTCCTCCATTGCAGGAATCATCTGAGTCCTACACTGTGGCATCCAGCCCAGCCCGGCGGCTGCGAAACGATCCTCTCACTTCCAGCCCTGGGCGAAGCTCCCGTCGCACCGATGCCCTGACTTCCAGCCCTGGTCGTGATCTTCCCCCTTTTGAGGATGAGTCTGAGGGACTTCTAGGTACAGAAGGACCCCTGGATGAAGAGGAAGAAGATGGAGAGGAGCTTATCGGAGATGGCATGGAGAGGTATTTTCATTCAAGGCCAGGCACTCAGCAGACGGTTTTTGCAGAGAGCTCGTGGGTTGTGTCCAGTGACCTTGCTTTGGGTGCAGGGGTAGCAGATGAATCAGAGTATCCTTGTCTGTGAGTGCACCTTGATGGCAGGGTCTAGGGGGAGACAGGTTCATGGAGCCACAGCATAGGTCCCTGTATCTTGCTGAATCTTCGTCTGGGTCCTAAGGCCTGGGTGAGCCTCAGCTCCATAAGATGTGCATCCCAGGGGATGCACGGGGTCTCTAATGTGATGGACCACGTCAAGGATGCCAAGGGTGACTTGGAACAACAGGAAGAGGAGGCAGCTGAGTGTTTTTCTGCAACTTGTTTTTTGCCACTTCTTTTCTGCAACTGAAACTGTGCGGGGGTGCCTGATGAATCAAGATTTCTTTTTTTATTTAGAGATTTTTTTTTTAACGTTTACTTATTATTGAGAAACAGAGACAGAGGATGAGCATGGGAGGGGCAGAGAGAAGGGGAGACACAGAATCCCAGTCAGTCTCCAGGCTCCGAGCTGTCAGCACAGAGCCCGACGTGGGGCTTGAACTCACCAACTGCGAGATCATGACCTGAGCCGAAGTCAGACGCTCAACCGACTGAGCCACCCAGGTGCCCCCTTTGAGACCTTCTTTTACTCTGACTTAGGGGTTCCAAAAGTGTTTGAGATCACTGTACAGGCCATCCTATAATCCATGGAGAGTACCCTTTGTGAGCCACCCAAGGGACTTGCGAGGGCTCTCTGGACCTTTCAGATCTTTGCTTTAAGCATCATTACCCTAGATGATGAGACTGTTGTGCCATACATGTCACACTGTGGAAGGAATTGGGAGTCTTTGTACAGATGCTCTGAATTTTTTATGTGAACATATGTTTTCCATTCTCTTTGGCATATATCTAGGGACGGAATTGCTAGCTCATACGGGAACTCTGTGGTTAATCTTTTTTTTTTTTTTTAATCCTAGTTAACATACAGTGCAATATCAGTTTCAGGAGTAGAATTCAGTGATTCGTTACTTATATACAATACCTAGTATTTATCCCAACGAGTGCTCTCCCTCCTTAATACCCATCACCCATCTAGCCCCTCTCTCACCCACGTCCCTCGTCAACCCTCAGTTTGTTCTTGATCATTAAGAGTCTCTTATGGTTTGTTTCCCTCTCCTTTTTTAAAATCCCCTTGCCATATGTTCATCTGTTCTGTTTCTTAAATTCCACATATGAATGAAATCATATGGTACTTACCTTTCTCTGACTAATTTTGCTTAGCATAATTTACTTTAGCTCCATCCATGTTGTAGCAAATGGCAAGATTTCATTCTTTTTAAAAAAAAAATTTTTTTTTTAATGTTTATTTTTGAGACAGAGGGAGACAGCGCAAATGGGGGAGGGACAGAGAGAGAAGGAGACACAAAATCTGAAACAGGCTCCAGGCTCTAAGCTGTCAGCACAGAGCCCGATGCGGGGCTCAAACCCATGAACCGTGAGATCATGACCTGAGCCGAAGTTGGACGCTTAACCGACTGAGCCACCCAGGCACCCCAAGATTTCATTCTTTTTGATCGCTGAGTGACATTCCAGTGTGTGTGTGTGTGTGTGTGTGTATGCATATATACACACACACCCCACATCTTTATCCATTCATCAGAAGTCAGTGGACATTTGGGCTCTTTGCATAGTTTGGTTATTGTTCATAGTGCTGCTATAAACATCAGGGTGCATGTACCCCTTCAATTCTGTATTTTTGTATCTTCTGGGTAAATGCTTAGTAGTACAATTGCTGGATGTGGGGTAGTTCTATTTTTAACTTTTTAAGAAACCTCCATACTCTTCTCCAGAATGGCTACACCAGTTTGCATTCCCACCGACAGTGCGAGAGTGTTCCCCTTTCTCCGCATCCTTGCCAACATCTGTTGTTGCCTGAGTTGTTAATGTTAGTCTTTCTGACAGGTGTGAGGTGTTATCTCTCTGTGGTTTTGATTTGTATTTCCCTGATCATGAGTCATGTTGAGCATTTTTTCATGTGTCTGTTGGCCATCTGGATGTCTTCTTTGGAGAAGTGTCTGTTCCTGTCTTTTGCCCATTTCTTCATTGGATTATTTGTTTTTTGGTGTTGAGTTTGATAAGTTCTTTATAGATTTTTGGATACTAACCCTTTATCTGATATGTCGTTTGCAAATATCTTCTCCCATTCTGTCAGTTGCCTTTTAGTTTTGCTGATTGTTTTCTTCTCTGTGCAGAAGGTTTTTATTTTGATGAGGTCCCAGTAGTTCGTTTTTGCTTTTGTTTCCCTTGCCTCCAGAGACATGTTGAGTAAGAAGTTGCTGTGGCCAAGATCAAAAAGGTTTTTGCCTGTATTCTCCTCTAGGATTTTGATGGCTTCCTGTCTCACATTTAGGTCTTTCATCCATTTTGAGTTTAGTTTTGTGTATGGTGTAAGAAAGTGGTCCAGGTTCATTCTTCTGCATGTCGCTGTCCAGTTTTCCCAGCACCACTTGCTGAAGAGACTGTCTTTATTCCATTGGATATTCCTTCCTGCTTTGTCAAAGATTAGGTGGCCATACGTTTGTGGGTCCATTTCTGGGTTCTCTATTTGGTTCCATTGATCTGAGTGTCTGTTTTTTGTGCCAGAGTTGTAAGTTTTTAAAATTTATTCTGGATACAGGTCCTTTATCAGATACGCAGTTTGCAAATATTGTCTTCTCAATCTGGCTTTTTTTTCTTAACCATTTCTTAATGGTGTCTTTTGAGGCACAAAAGCTTTTAATTTTGATTATGTTCAGTTCCTTAGTTTTAATATGGGCCAATTAGAATTTCACGGAGGACAGAGGATATCTCATGTGACTTAAAATTCTCAGAGAACTAGATAAATACCATTTAACTGAAAACATTTAAGCATTTGGAAATGGATCAGCCCAGAAATGTACCTGGCTCTGGGATCTGTTTCTGGCATCAGCAGTGTGGAATTACTAATTCTGAGTTTACTGCAAAGAAAAAGAAAGGGGGGTGCAGTTCCTCCAATCACCACTTTGAAAAAAGGGAGAATTCCAAGATGGTCTGGGGTGGGGGTGGGGGGGGGCGGAGTGCAGTATGGTATCTGAGAATGAGCCTGCAGTTTGTGGTTGGATGTATTTTGACACCCAACTCTGCTGAGCGACTTTTGGCAAAAGCCCCATTACCCCCGTAATCCAATTTCCTCATCTTTCAAATGGAATAATGGTGTCTACCTCCCAGAATTGTAGGGAGGAAAGCCGTGCTTCACTCTCATGGGTTCTTTGTTCAGGCAACATTCCCCCTTCAAATATCTGGTAGGTGACTGGAAAATGATCTTAAGGGTAGCTGAGACGGTTGAGCCAGTGTGTGGACGTTTCAGAGAAGCTGGTTTGGCAGATGTCAATAGATGACCCTTCCAGAACTTCCAGGGGCTTGGGGCGGCATTGTCTGGGAGGAAGAAGGTGTGGGGAAAATTTCTGCCTTGTTGGGGGGCTGGGGTTGGCTGCCTGAAGGTTTTGGGGTTCCTTCAGTTCCTGTTTCTTTCGGGATGCTCAAAGCTGTCTGGAGATCTGTCCCCTTTTTTTATTGTGGTTAAATACACGTAACACAAAATTCACCCTCTTTAAGTGTTCAATCCAGTGGCATCAAATATACTCACACTGTTGTATCACCATCTCTGCCACCCATCTCCAGAACTTTTTCGTCCTTCCAAACTGAATCCTGCAGAATTTGCCCTTTGGGGATTGGCTTATTTCCCTGAGCATATTTGTCCTCAAGATTCATCCATGTTTAGGGGCGCCTGGGTGGCTCAGTTTGTTAAGTGTCTGACTTCAGCGCAGGTCATGACTCACAGTCTGTGGGAGACTGTGCTGACAGCTTGGAGCCTGGAGCCCGCTTCAGATTCTGTGTTTCCCTCTCTCTCTGCCTCTTCCCCACTTGTGTTCTGTCTCTGTCTCTCTCTCAAAAATAAACATAAAAAAACATAAAAAAGATTCACCCATGTTTAGCATGTCAGACTGTTTTTCCTTTTGAAGACTGAAATATACTCCGTTGTATACACAGGCCAAGATTTCTTCTGGCCTGCCCAGCCTGGGGCTCCTGAGCCTTCTGGAGCAAGCCCACTTCTGGGGGTGGGGGGGTTTGTTTTGGTCTTGATAACTAACAGGGTCCATTCCGGGGCTCTCTCAGGGACTATCGTGCCATCCCGGAGCTGGATGCCTACGAGGCCGAGGGACTGGCCCTGGACGATGAGGACGTAGAGGAGCTGACGGCCAGTCAGAGGGAGGCAGCGGAGCGGGCCATGAGGCAGCGTGACCGAGAGGCTGGCCGGGGCCTGGGCCGCATGCGCCGTGGGCTCCTGTACGGTAGGTTCGAAGGTCTGCAACCTCCAAGGGTGCAAGGCTGGTCCTAGCTTCCAGAGCCTAGGGGAGCTGGGAAAAGCAGTTCTGGGGAAGGCCTCAATTGAGAGTATCCCTTCGGCCCCCAGACAGCGACGAGGAGGACGAGGAGCGTCCCTCCCGGAAGCGCCGCCAGGTGGAGCGGGCCACGGAGGAGGGTGAGGAGGACGAGGACATGATCGAGAGCATTGAGAACCTGGAGGACCTCAAGGGCCACTCTGTGCGTGAGTGGGTGAGCATGGCAGGCCCACGCCTGGAGATCCACCACCGCTTTAAGAACTTCCTGCGCACCCATGTGGACGGCCATGGACACAACGTCTTCAAGGAGCGCATCAGCGACATGTGCAAAGGTGTGGCTTCCGAGCATCCCTGCGGCCCCTCCGCTCACTCGATCCGCCTTTCAGAGTTCTCCTGCAGCAGGCTATTTGCATGGGCGTCTAACGGCACATTTAATAGGGGTGGGAAGTGTGGGGAATACTGGGTAACTTGCCCGTAGCTAGACAGGAGCTACCACCAGAAGCTGCAGATGTTTGTCTTTTAGGCGAATACAAAATGCGTGTCTGCACTAGGATGCTCACTGGCTGTCCAGGGACACCAGCTGGACCACAGAAATGTTTTTTGAGTGCTTAATAGGCGGCCGGTTTCATGTAAAAGTCTGGATTACTAGTTCAGTCAGAAAGTAGCATGTTTCCATGTGGCCGGAATTACATTTAAAAGGAGGCATGCAGGGGCGCCTGGGTGGCTCAGTCGGTTGGGTGTCCGACTTCGGCTCAGGTCATGATCTCACGGTCTGTGGGTTCGGGCCCCGCATCGGGCTCTGTGCTGACAGCTCAGAGCCTGGAGCCTGCTTCCGATTCTGTGTCTCCCTCTCTCTCTGCCCCTTCCCTGCTCACGTTCTGTCTCTCTCTGTCGCAAAAACAAATAAAAACATTATAAAAAAAAAAATAAAAGGCACACTTTTATATTATAAAAAAATTTTTATAATATACATTTTTACATTTTTTTACATTATAAAAAAACTTTTTAATATTATAAAATATACTTTTACATTATACAATTATACAATTATACATTATACAATATACTTACTTTTACATTATAAAGAAAAAATAAAAGGCACACAAAAAAATAAAAGGAACACTTGGTTCCCTGCTGTCCACTCCGCCCCCTTTTGTTTTGTATTTTACACAGTTTACTCACAGGTTTCCTTCGTGGCCCTCTTAGGCATTTTGAGTTTGCAACGCTCCTGTAAACGTCACCCTGTGCATTTCACTTGATGTAATTTTGCGCTACGCTGTGTGACATCTGCATTTTACAGTTTGGGAAGCCTAGGCTCAGGATGTGTCACTTGCCTGAGCCACGTAGCTAAAGCAGGGCAGGCTTAGAAGTCAGGGCTGGGGTTGCCAGCCCCAAGCCAAGGATTTGGGTGGGCAGGCCTTCTTCCCCGCGCAGTGAGACGGAAAGTGCCTGCTGTGTCCGCGGCTGAGCTCTGTGCTTAGTCTCTTTTTCCTGCCTCCAGAGAACCGCGAGAGCCTGGTGGTGAACTACGAGGACCTGGCGGCCCGGGAGCACGTCCTGGCCTACTTCCTGCCTGAGGCACCCGCAGAGCTGCTGCAGATCTTTGATGAGGCTGCCCTGGAGGTTGTGCTGGCCATGTACCCCAAGTACGACCGCATCGCCAGCCACATCCATGTGCGCATCTCCCACCTGCCTCTGGTAGAGGAGCTGCGCTCGCTCAGGTGAGCCGAGGGCAGGGCAAGCCTCAGGGTCCGGGTCCTTAGCACCCCACTGTGGCTTCGTTCGGGGGAGCTCCGGCAAGGCCACGGAGGTGTGGGCAGGCTGGCTTCAGCCGAGGAGAGAGTCCTCACCCCCTGTGCTCTGGCGCTGGGGCGCGATGGGATGACCCTGTGTTTTCTGGATCCACCTACTTACAGCTCTGACCTCTGCAGGGCATGGGTCACGCATCTGGCCTCCAGGACTCTGATATTCTCGCTCTTGTGTCTGCAGGCAGCTGCACCTCAACCAGCTGATCCGCACCAGCGGGGTGGTGACCAGCTGCACCGGTGTCCTGCCCCAGCTCAGCATGGTCAAGTACAACTGCAACAAGTGTAACTTTGTGCTGGGGCCCTTCTGTCAGTCTCAGAACCAGGAGGTGAAGCCGGGCTCCTGCCCCGAGTGCCAGTCAGCTGGCCCCTTTGAAGTCAACATGGAGGAGGTGAGAGACCGTCCTGTGCCCACTGTTGGCTGCTCTTCCTGTCTGTGCAGGATGGAAGTGTGTATGGCTGCACCCTGAGGTGAACCAGATCTATCTGGCTAGTCTGTTTAGTTTGGCCCAGGAGTTTTTTGAGAATTTAAGCCAATATTTTAAGCAGATAATTTTATTTAAAACATCAGAGTTGATGGCTTTCTTTAAAAAAATGAGAAGCTCTGGAAAATTGGGCTCACTCTCACCTGGCTGCACCCTTAGCAAGGCACCTGCTTTCCCGTCCCTCACCCACATGGGGCTTCCCCTTGACGACCCTGGTACCTACCTCTCTGACAGCCTCCCATTGGGAGCCTCTAGATGGTGACTGCCTCAGACGCTGCTGTGCCGTATTCAGGAGGTCCTGCTGAAAGTCTCTGAGCTGTTTGCCTTTGTACTTGAATGACTTCATCTGTAGAGTGGGGGTCATCACAGTACTTTTAGGGGACGCCCAGATTGCCTGTTTAGCTCGTCTTTTTTTTTTTTTTTTTTTAACGTTTATTTATTTTTGAGAGCGAGAGTGTGAGCAGGAAAGGGGCCGGAGGAGGGGGGCAGAGGATCCAAAGTGGGCTCTGTACTGACAGCAGTGAGATCACGACCTGAGCCGAAGTCAGACGCTCAACCGACTGAGCCACGCAGATGCCCCTTAGCTTATCCTCCTTAAGAGTCCACCTTCACAGAAGCTTCTTGAGAAGTCTTGTACACAGGAGCAGAGTTTCAGGCTCTGCTTCTAAACAAGTAGTAATTATAGTTGAAGCTTCTGGAGTACTTGCAAGGTACCGAGTGGTGGGTGATGTGTAATTTCACACCCTTTGAGGCAGGTGGTATTACTGACCCCTAGGTCACCCAGCTAGGAAGAGGTCCAAAGGATTTGAACTCCGGATTTTGATCAGAGTGTGTGCTTCCGATGGCTGTATTTTGTGGCCTGTTTGCTAGACAGTGAAATAATGGATGTTACATTGCACAGCACGACATTAGCCTGTGACGTTTGGCAGTAGGGCCAACGCTTAGTGGAGCTCACCGTCTTGGTTGGCATTGATGTGTTTTTGACATATGGCGTGATTTAACCGTGAGGTTGCACTCAGAGCGTTAGCATCCCCATTCTGCAGAAAACGCGTAGAGAGGGGACATCAGTTGCCAAAGATCACACACCCTAAGCCATGGAGCTAAGATTTGAACTGGGGCAGCCTGGTTCCAGCATCCATGTGCACAGAGGGCTGGGTTACATAGCATTTAGCAGGTGCTTGACTGTCTAGCAGTAGGGAGGCATCCACAGGGGTGGTGGCAGGGGTGGGGACCGTCTACTCATATGTTGGTCACAGCAGGCTCATTCCCTGCTGTCTTTCACTCTCCGTTTTCTAGTGAGTTGGTAGAAAGAAGAACCATGTCTGTTTTCCCTCCTCATGGGGCCGTGGCCAAGGTCGGGTGGCATAATAAGTCAGTGTTTGGAGGGGTGCAAGGTTGGCCATGCAGAGACAGGCTCCTGTGACCTTGTGTTTGCCCCACACAGACCGTGTATCAGAACTACCAGCGCATTCGAATTCAGGAGAGTCCCGGCAAAGTGGCGGCCGGCCGGCTGCCCCGCTCCAAGGACGCGATCCTCCTCGCCGATCTGGTGGACAGCTGCAAGCCAGGAGATGAGATAGTAAGTGGCCCAGAGCAGGCGCGGAGGGAGCCGAGTTGCTAGAGTTGCTAGGGAAATCAGCGTGAGCATCTGTGGTGTGGAGAGGGTTGGAGAGGGTTGCCGGCAGCGGGGGCGTCGGCTGAGGCTGGTTCTTCCATCGCTGAGAGGAAGATGCCTCCGTCCTTGTAAAGGCTGGCGGGTTGGAACGTAGGAGTTAGTTTTGCTTTGGCCGTCTGGGTTACTTGTCTCGGTGCCTGGCGTGGAGGACTTGGGGATGACTTGGGAAGGAGGACGCGCCCCTGGGTCTGACCCAGGGCTGGCCCTCTGGCTTGGCTCCCTTCTCCCAGGAGCTGACTGGCATCTACCACAACAACTACGATGGCTCCCTCAACACGGCCAACGGCTTCCCCGTGTTTGCCACTGTCATCTTAGCCAACCACGTGGCCAAGAAGGACAACAAGGTCGCTGTGGGGGAACTGACAGATGAAGATGTGAAGATGATCACCAGCCTCTCCAAGGACCAGCAGATCGGGGAGAAGGCAGGTGGAAGGCCGGGTGGGATTGCCATGCTCCCAGAGGAGGCTGGGGGCCCACTGCCCCAGAACCACGGTCTTGATTCCCCGGGTCCTGGAGTCTGGGCTCCCTTCCTGGCGTCAGTTCGGAAAACTTGCCTTGATGGGGGGGGACTGTACCGCTATTCGCGTAGGATGGGGCTGTGGTGAGGAGTCAGTGGATGGAGTGGAGCTTGGGCTCAAAGCTGAAACAGGTGCCGCATGGGGGGTGGGGGGAGTGCGCCCTGCTACCAGACTCCTCCCCACAGTGGTTTCTCTAGGAAGGACTCAACCCCAGCGTGGTTTCGGGGCTACTTTGTTTTAATTGTGGATGTTGTCACTGAAGGTTGGGGAGCTGGGATGTTGTTTCACCTGCTCAGGTATCGCTTGGCTCCCAGGTCGGGAAGTGTTCTCCTCAAGCTCACGGCTGTCCTCCATCTTTTTCTCGTTCTCTCTTCCTGTTCAGCGTTTAACGCAGAACAGCGTAGCCTTCTTTTTGCCTCTGCTCTTCTGCAGAGCCAGACCCTTGGTTCAGTGCAGCTTCCATTTGGCTTGTTTAACAAATGGGATCCTTCCCTTGAGGATAGGGCCACATGTGACACACCTCTGTCACCTCCACCTGAGCCACTAGGATTTGGGGTACCACCAGGAGGCGGGTGCTCTCCCAACCTTGGACGACAAGAACCTCATTCTGTCAGCACACTCAGTCCTTGGATGCCTTTTATGGCCACAGTCTACGATCTTGGTGGGAAGTCCGGCACAGTCCTGGCCCTCATGGGGCTCATAGTTAATCAGGATCCCCAATAACAAGAAAGAAAACAATGGAACAGGATCTTCTCACAAAATCGGTACCATGGGAAGATGGTTACAACCCGTGATTCTTTGGTTCCCACGCTTCCCAGAGGAAAATGAGTGCTAATGCAGTGGACATGTTTCCAGACTCTTCGTGAGTATCTGAGCCAGTTTCTCCAGGAACAGAGACCCAGCCCTCCCCGCTGGGTGGCCTGGCACACATCAGCCATGTTCATGTGCTCCTGACCTGCCACGGGAGCCCCGTGCTTCTAGGACACTTTGCCAGCACCCCTCTTTCTCTCTGCTTCAGTTCTTGCCGCTCTCCCACTTTGTCAAGGAGACGAGGACGGCAGCAGATGAGAGCGTGTGAGACAGGATGTAGTTGACTTACCCAAGGCTTCGGACGAGGCGGTCCCCACGCGTGCCCTGTGCCCCAGACTTCCAGAACTGCTCGTAGTTGTCCTAGCATAGAAAGCTGTGCCGCACTGTGCCGGCCTTGGTAGCTGCTGTTTCGTCTGCCTCCTTGTCTGTGTAGCTAACTTCTTCAGGTGCACACATGTGGGCTGTCAGTGTACTGACTGTTCAGTTTCAGTTACACCTGCATGCTTACACGGTGACTCTCCCAGCATTGGAGAGGGTGACTTCTAAAGAGAGGTCCTTTATTTATTCATTTATTTGTATTTTTAGAGCCCGGTTGGAGGGTGAGAGAGAGACACACAGACAGACACTGAGGCAGGATCCATACCCAGTGCAGAGACCAACGTGGGGCTTGGGGCTTGGTCCCATGACCCGGGGTCATGACCTGAACTGAAATCAAGAGTCGGACGCTCAACTGACTGAGCTACCCAGGCACTCCTAAAGAGAGGTCCTTTAGAAGGATGTAGAGGGGATTCTTTTTTTTTTCTTTTAATTTTTTTTTTTTTAACGTTTATTTATTATTGAGAGACAGAGCATGAGCAGGGGAGGGGCAGAGGGAGAGGGAGACACAGAATCTGAAGCAGGCTCCAGCCTCTGAGCTGTCAGCACAGAGCCCGATGCGTAAGATCATGACCTGAGCCAAAGTTGGATGCTTAACTGACTGAGCCACCCAGGCGCCCCTGAAGGGGATTCTTCCAGAGAGGATGACATCTCTGTGGGACCCCTTTCTGAGCCCCCATGGGTAAAGGAAGACCAGGTGATACCAGGGAGGGTTGATCTGTACTGGCCCCATCTTTAGTCCAGTGTCAGGGTGGATGTTTTCACCAATAACTTGTTCAAAGACAGAAACTGCACTCAAGTGTTGGGGAACAAACTGAAAGAATGGATGACAGGCAGGATCCAAAAATGGTGGGGCTCCTTTGAACTATCGAAGCCAGAGGTTTGCAAATTGGTAGCCTGTGGGCCACATGCTGCCTGCCAGCAGGTTTTGTTCAGTTGGTATGTGGTTCTGTGTTTCCTTTTCTTTTTAGTTTGCATTTATTTTTGAATGAGTTATCATCCTTAGGAGTCCAAGAGTTTTCACCTAAAGATCCAGAAGCCATCCAAGCATCCATCAGTGCTAGGTCTGTGTTGCTCTCCAGCAGTGACAGACGGGAGCCAAGCGGCAGCTGCCTTGCAGACAGGGCGTGCTCCCTGCTGTCTGCCCCAGCCACCCGCTTCTCTGTTCTCTGCAGCCTGAATAACTCGAGTGTGCAAAAACCCAGGGCATTTGATTTTGTGGGCCCTCGTCCGTGATAGATATTTCTACCGACATATCAAGGGATGCAGTTCACGCCTAACACTTAGATTACAAAGAACTAATGGGAGCATCGGTGTGCAGCCAGCCTCTTTTGTTTGGATTTCAGCCCAACCCTTGGTGTGATCAGATGGGCTGCTTGCATCTGGGTAGTAGGATCCGCAGGCAGAGTTGTTACAAAGATTACGTAGATGTGCACACACAAATGTTCCACTATTGTGTGCTCAGCAGGGAGCTGTTACTGCACGTCCGTACAGAAGTTAGACTACTTGTACAAAACGTGGATGGGTGTCCCAAAGGCATAAAGAACCGTAGGAAGATAAGCATCGTCTCATGTTCACAGTCGCGGTGCAGTTGGGGGCTTGTCTCCTCTTTCTGGCAGGGTATTCTGCGTGGGGAGCGGGAACAGTGCGTATTGAGAGTTAATAGCATGAGCTTCAGATTCAGAGGAATCTGGGGTCAGGTCTTGCCTGTCTTATTTAGGAACAGACAGTTGTCTGCCCAGAGCCTCGGTTTGTTTCCTCCTTTGTGACATGGAGGCCCCAGGATCATGAGGTTTAAATGGAATACTTCATGGGAAGCGTGTCCTTCCTCGGCAGGTCTGGGTTTAGTCTCACCCTTCTTACCAGCCATTAAGGTTGCCTGTTACTCGCTCAGACGAGCTAGGTCAGCGACAGGACAGCGTGGGCTTTAGCATGGTTGCTTCCTTGCCCTCTAGTCTACAGGAGGCCCATCTGGATGCAGTGGGTGCTTTGCAGGAGGGGAGCTGAGCCTGGGAAACTGGTGCATAGCAGGCAGGAAGGGGGCCTGTTGTTCTTGGTGCTGGAGGGAGACATTACCTCATCCATGCAGGGGCACTTCATACGGGAACAGCCCTGAGAAACGGTCTGGGTAAAGAGAGGTCAGGGACAAGTGGCCTTGGCACAGCCACAGGACGCACAGGAGGAGGAGACATCCATGGCAGATCGTGTCTCCTGACACTCCCGGCACAAGTGAGGGTTTCGTGGCAGAATCATGCACACTGAGCATGAAGCACCTGCTTGACGCTCTCTAGGTAGTTTCCAGGTAGCAACAACAGTCCTATAGTGGAGGTGTCACATGTACCCGTCTTATTGGTGAGTAAACTGGGGCACGGATTAAATAAGCCTCCACGCCGCACAGCTGCTAATGGCAGAGGCAGGATCCCCATTGGGCAGTGTGGTCTGAGCCCGCGCTCCAGGGACAGCTCTCTGCTCCCTCTCCGTCAGTTACTGCAGCTGGGGGAGGACGCCTGTGTGCATGCTGGATTACGGTGAGTTCTGTGCATGCCCAAGCACAAGTCCTGACCTGACAATTAAAACTTTACCACACAAACTTCTGGATGTAGGCGTGGAGCGGCACAGTGAGCCCCACATGTCCTTCCCCCGGCTCCACCGGTGGCTGCAGTCGTGCCAGCCTTGTGTCCCCTCGGGCCCACTCATTACTGTGAGGCCACTTTCTGACGCAGCATCTGCAACCAAGGATCTCTGACAGGCCCTCTCTGCTGAACCTAACCCCAACTCTGCAGCCACACTTTAAAAACTAATTCGCAGTTCTGTAATACCAAGTATTTGGTTGGTCTCCACATTTCCCTGATTCTCCTACTTTTTTCTGTTTTTTACAAGTTTCCTGGACTTGATCCCCAGGGAAGGCCCCCACATTGCGACGGATTAATCTCTTAAGTCTCAATCTTTTTAGGTCCCCTCTCCGTCTCCTCTTTTCTTGCAAGTTTTTTTAAGGTTTTACTTATTTATTTGAGAGAGGGAGAGAACGAGTGGGGGAGGGACAGAGAGGGGAACAGGGGATACGAAGCAGGCTCTGTGATGAGAGCAGAGAGCCCGATGTGGGACTCAAACTCAAGAACCACGAGACCTGAGCCAAAGTTGGACCCTTAACCAACTGAGCCACCCAGGTGCCCTCTTGCAATTTGTTTGTGGAAAAATTTGGGTCGTCTGCCTGCTGAATTTTCCATAGTCTGGTGTTGCCGATTGTGCCCTCGTTGAACTTATTCCTGGGCCACCCGCTTTCTGTGAATTGTCACTGAGCTGTGCAGGCTTACCCAGTCTCCAGGTTGATGGGGTTTTTTTCTTCTTTTGGTGTGGGGGCGGGGGGTGGCGCGGTAAGACTGCATCAGGGTCCTGTGTTCCCACCGGGGACACGTGCCTTGCCTCTCTGTGACATTAGCCACTGACGATCCTTGGCTAAACCCATGCATTCGTCAGGGGTTGCAAAATGATGGTCTTCTAATTCCAAATCCTTCTTCATTCATTTTCTGGAATGCTTCTATGTAGAGAAGCTTCTCTCTGTTAATTTTTGGACTGTCCCTGGGTAGAGGTCCAGCAGGAAAAGCAGGAGGGTGCTTGATTCTTTCCCTTTGTTTACCAGTTTTCAAAATAAGCAATGGTCCCCTCCCGGGGTGACCACTGAATGTCATTACAAATTAGCGAATATCTGTGTTATTGAGGCTCCAGGTGATGCCCAGCGTGTCCCTCTAGTGGCCAGTATGAAGCCTGTTGTATTGGCTCCTGAGTGGTGTTGTCGTGACCCCAGTTGTCTGTGATGGCTTTCTTCTTTCTCTTGTAAGACACTGCCATTTCTCCAAATAGCCCTGTGGGATGTATAATTTTCTCTCAGTGGGAAATGGTATTTAGAGATGGCAGCCTCTCACACGCACCAGGCCTGGACTACCGTTCACCGGTTAACGCTCTATGTCCTCTCCTTGGGCTAGGTCTTGCGGGAAATGTTAGGGCCAAGGAAAGAACCAGCAAAAGCGTACACGTGGAACCGACTTCCGCTCCTAACTTACTACGTAAAATCACAGCAGGAGGCATTTCTGGCACAGTGCCAGTGGTGCTGGCAGATCCTCTTTCCGGAAGGACCTGCTGGTCACACTGTCCTCTGGCAGCAGGGGAAAGCAGCCGTGCCTGGAATAAACCGCTGACCCCTAGCCCAGCTCTGAGAATTGGATTTCTCCCACCTTCACTCCACCTTCTGGGGAGTCCAGAGGGAGCAATTCTGGCCGGTGGAGCAGGCAGGATCCAGCCCGGTGGGTCTCCTTCAGGATTTTCAGCGCTGATTTTCCTGCTCCAGTGCCTCCTTCCCCCCTGGGGCCAGCTGTACTGCCGGCTGCCTTGGTGTGACCTGTAAGGAGGGAAGGATGTGCAGTGCTTGTGCAGAGCTCCTCAGTTCAGAAGGCAGGTCGAGAACAGTAAAGGCATGCAGGTGGAGGTGGAAATTCCTTCCTGCTGGCAAGACATTTCTTTGATGTCTCTGGTATTATCTTTATTTGATGTTGTTTCAAATCTTAGGATGTTTTATTTATTTTTTGTTTTTTAGATAGCATGTGCACACATTGGGCAGAGGGGCAGAGGGAGGGGCAGAGAGAATCTTATGCAGGCCCCACGCTCAGCACGGAGCACGATGTGGGGCTCGATCCTACGACCCTGGGATCATGACCTGAGCCCAAATCAGGAGTCGGACTCTCAACTGACTGAGCCACCCAGGCACCGTGGTGTGGGCATTTGGGGGCTGGAGGTGTCCCCATTCCCTGAGACTGGAGCGTGGGGGGGACCTGCTGTGTGTGTCAGCTTGGCTCAGACGCAGAGCACAGGTGCCGTTCTCATTGGCTCTTTTCCTTCCTTGCAGATCTTCGCCAGTATTGCTCCTTCCATCTATGGACACGAAGACATCAAGAGAGGCCTGGCGCTGGCTCTGTTTGGAGGGGAGCCTAAAAACCCAGGTGAGTGGCGCTTGGGTGCCACCCACCTTTCCTCTGCACGGGTGTCCGTAGGAGCCAGCATTGTGGGTATTAGACAAGGCAGGACTCTGCATTTAAAGGCCGGGCACCTGGGGAGAAAGCACATATTAACAGATGGCCAGACCATGTATGGCTTGGTCGTTGTAGGCGGAGCGTAGTCCATGGCCGTGGCTCTTTGGGTGGTTTTAACTATAAAAATAACACGGGGGCGCCTGGGTGGCTCAGTCAGTTAAGCATCCGACTGGCTCAGGTCATGATCTCACGGTGCAGGAGTTTGAGCCCTGCATTAGGCTGTGTGCTGTTTGCACAGAGTCTGCTTCGGATTCTGTGTCTTCCTCTCTTTCTGCCCTTCCCCTGTGCACACATGTGCACATTTTCTCTCAAAAATAAACGTTTAGGGGCGCCTGGGTGGCGCAGTCGGTCAAGCGTCCGACTTCGGCCAGGTCACGATCTCGCGGTCCGTGAGTTCGAGCCCCGCGTCGGGCTCTGGGCTGATGGCTCGGAGCCTGGAGCCTGTTTCCGATTCTGTGTCTCCCTCTCTCTCTGCCCCTCCCCCGTTCATGCTCTGTCTCTCTGTGTCCCAAAAGTAAATTAAAAAAAACGTTGAAAAAAAATTAAAAAAAAAAAAATGCTTTAAAAAAAATAATAAACGTTTAAAAAATAATAATACGTGAATATGTTTTGATATTTTCTTCTTAAATTGTTAGAAGTCACAGAAAGGTTAAAGTCACTGCTGACCATGTTTCTTTCTTTCTTTCTTTCTTTTTATAAGTTTATTTATCTTGAGAGAGAGAGAATCCCATGCAGGCTCCGCACTCTACGTGCACAGCGCAGCCCAGCCCAACTCAGGGCTCAGACCCACGAAACCAAGAGCCAGGCACTTAACCGACAGCCACCCAAGCGCCCAGTTTCTAAGCCGGTCCCATTTGTGGTCTTTCCTCTGATTAGTGTGCTGTGTGCCCTAACAGACCTTTGCATGGCCGTTCACATAGACTTACGTGCGTACGTCTACAAAAACCAGAAGAATTTCGTGGCATGTGTGTATATGTCTCTGTTTACAAACGTAGTAATTTCCTGTAGCGTGTGTTAGTGATTGTGTAAAATACTTGCCTTACCTTTTCTGCCCAGTAGCAGGTTTGTGTTGGTGCCCACTGAGCTGGTTTATTCTCCCGTGACTGTGTTGTGGTCTCCGTAGCCTAGCGTCCCGGGTGGAGAACATTTGCACTGCCTCCAGTCGCTTAACATTGACTGAGAGCGTTTATACAGGCGTCCCTGTGCACCCATTTCTCTGGGTCCAGTGCTCAGAAGTGGGATTGCTAGCCCTAGGGTATCACGCCCCTTTCTAAAAGAATGTGCTTCGCATAAGCAGGCTGAGAAATTCGGGATACTACATCTCGCACCCCTCTCCTCTTTTACATCCCCACCTCTGTCCCTGCCTCCAGGGGGTAAGCACAAGGTGCGAGGTGACATCAACGTGCTCTTGTGTGGAGATCCCGGCACAGCCAAGTCTCAGTTCCTCAAATACGTCGAGAAAGTGTCTAGCCGTGCCATCTTTACCACTGGCCAGGGGGCTTCAGCCGTGGGCCTCACAGCGTATGTCCAGCGACACCCTGTCAGCAGGGAGTGGACCTTAGAGGCTGGAGCCCTGGTTCTGGCTGACCGAGGAGTGTGTCTCATCGATGAATTTGACAAGGTGGGCCCCTGGGCCACATGGTGGTGGTACTGGGGAGGTGTTGGCTTAGCCCCGAGTGGGGGAACAAATGTTCATGGGATAGCAGTTGGGGCAAAGCATCATGCAGTTGGACTTTTGCAGATGAATGACCAGGACAGAACCAGCATCCACGAGGCCATGGAGCAGCAGAGCATCTCCATCTCCAAGGCCGGCATCGTCACCTCCCTGCAGGCTCGCTGCACGATCATTGCCGCGGCCAACCCCATAGGTACACCAGGCACGACAGCCATGGGGGTTGGGGCTCTGCCCCAGGGAGGCAAGACCCGGAGAGGTCCTGCCTCGGGAAGTAGGAGCCTGCAGTCTCCCTCGGCCAGTCCCAGGGTCCGAGGAAGGAAGGAACTGAGCATCAGTAAACCTTCCTCTTTTTGGTTTTGGTGGGGGGAGGGGGCAGCGTGGAAGCAGGACGTGGGGTCTTTTGTTGGGCTGTGTTCTCAGAACCAGTTTTGGACATTTTCCTTAGAAGACAAGAATTTAGTGCATTGTCTCCACTGGAGTCGAGTTGATTGTTGGTCCCAGCCAGCACATAGGTGAGAGCCCAGGCACCCCGCCCACTCATTCTAGGTTTTTTCCTGCTGGGAGATGGTTACACATTCGATGAAAAGGCTATGTCAGGGAAGGGCTCAGGGAAAGACCTCAACGTCTTGTCAAGCATGCCTGACAGTTGCAGGCACTGAGTGTTCATCCTCTTCCAAGGTCGTCTTTCTGTTTTGTCTCTGAAGCGACTTGGGTCTGGCAAGAACTCTCTGCTCAGGAGATGAGCAGATCCGGGAGAGCATGAGCCCTGATGGAGAGGTGCCTTTGTGTTACAGGAGGCCGCTATGACCCCTCGCTCACCTTCTCAGAAAACGTGGACCTCACGGAGCCCATCATTTCCCGCTTTGACATCCTGTGTGTGGTGAGGGACACGGTGGACCCAGTCCAGGTACACAGCCCCATGTCTCGGGCCCCGTGCAGCAAGCTGCAGGGATGTTGAGTGAGGATCAGAGCCTGGGTTGTACTCGGTGCAAGGAAAGGGACATCATTCAGACCGTGGTGTTTGTCAGGGAGTCAGCCTTGGTTTCTTTCCTTCACTGGCCTGTGCCCACCGCCCAGCTGACATGGTCCCCACTCTGTCACTAGGCCCTGCTGGCCCCACCAACTGCACCCACTTGCTTCTCCTGCATCCCTGCTGCAATCCAGGTGCCAGCTTCTCTTGCTCTGACCCGAAGCTGCCATGTCTGGTGGTGGGTCTCTTGGCTTCTGCTCCCAAGATGGAAGGTGGAAGTTGGCCCATCTTCTGGAAGCATAAGGTGGATGCATCATGCCTTTTCTTAACTTGCTGTCAGCTTCTAGTGTAACTAGCAGAGAATCCACTGGCCCTATGAGGACTCCTGTGGACCTGTCTCCTCCTCGTGCCCTTTGCTTCGTCCACCCCAGCCACACTGCCCTCTCTCCCTCCCCTGTGGACACCAGGCTTTGTGTTGTCAGCATGCTCGGCTCTCTTTCTGGAGTATTCTTCCTAGATTGCCGCACGGCTATGGCGCTCTGGCGGCCTCAGCTGGAGGGATCTCCTCGGGCCTCAATCTCAGGCATGTTACTCTCTGGGTATCT